TCGCAGAACCAGAAAAAGAATGCCCTATCGTAAAACCGCAAATGTTATCCAATAACGTATATCACGAAGAGGCTTGTATTTTTTATCTAATCACTATGAAAAAACAAACGTGTATTTTGTTATTTGTAAGATTTTTTTCGGTAAAACCTTGGCATTTGGGATTGCTTTTTATATTATTTACATTTATTGATTACTCCTGTATAATTTATTAATATATACATTTAAGTAAGTAGGTAGGAAGTTTGTGGTGAACTCAAGTGTTGGAGAAGATATTTCAATACTAGTAGGATGACATTAAATTATAATTGTGTTACTTATGTTTTGTAAAATCGTGGAGTTTTGTGTAGGTTAGTGTTCTGTAGGCAGTGTTTAGTTGATAAAACAGATTTTTCACTAGTAGATCCCTTGTTGTCATTATTTCTTTATTTACGACAGCAATCGATTTTGTCTGCTAAATCTAGCTAGGATGTAGGAGATTTTATACGTGAAAATAATAAGCGCGAGTCGTTATGAGGGCTGTAGACCACCGGGATAATATAAATTGGATTAAATATGATATAATTTAGTATTTTCATCAGAACCGGTTTTTCAGAGGAACGAAAAAATGTTAGGGAAATGAAAAACAATGAAAAAGTACTAGTTTCAGAAAGAATCAAATGTAACCGAAATATATGTTCTATACAATCAGTCAATTTTTCTACAGACTAGAAAATTGCAATTTCAGAACTGATTCACTTAAAGCGAATTGTAGATTTGTCTGTAGTTAGGTATGTCATATTTATTTATGGAATAAAATCTGTTGTACTTAAACTTGTTTTGCCTTTTTTGTCCTTTTCATTCGACTTTAATATTTGAAATCCTTTAAATATTGGGATATTTAAGCCCGTATTAATTAATAGTTTTATTTACGATTATATTGGTTTAATATCAACAAATGCTAAATCCGTACTTACTAACCACGCGTAACCTTTTCCATTCAACTATAATTTAACTTTAACTTTTCCTTATTTAAACTCATACTTGTTTCTGATATTTTTAAGTACACTATTTAGGTATATAATAAAAGCACTGTGAGCAGGTAGAAAGCGCATTTTATTTAGTTTTACATAACTTTTAATTTTCTAATTGTTTTCAGGCTCCGTGGCCTTGGTCACAAGAGCCAATTTTGTTCTTGTGTTTTTATTGAATTATTTAAAGTAGTAATTATTTCGTCGTTAATGCGTAGATCTTCAATAAAGTCTCAGTTTTCTTAATAATGCGTAGAATTACAAAATAAAAATATATATAAGAGTAAAAAAATTGCGAGAGAAAGTTAGTATAGGAGGGGTTTTTTCGTCACGTGGCTCACAGCTGGCAGTGCTCACGCAGCTCGCAGTGGCATGCGGTGAACATAATATGCGAAGGCATATCTCAAGCGATTAAATTGAGATTGAGATATTGAGAAAATTGATGCCTAAAAAAAGGGATACAATGTTTTTATTTTATTATTTTAAAGCCAGTAACTGCTTGATGTGTAAATCTAAAGAAAATATAACTAGGAAAAATTCTTCTAGCCATTCTTAAATTGCAAGGCAGCACCATCTCTTCGCATTATAGGTAACCTACAATGTCAAATGAATACTTTTACAAGTATTAAACATTTGAAAGAAGAAATAATTGATTAATGCGAAGAGATGGCGCTGCCTTGCAGCTTAAGAATGGCTAGAAGAATTTCGACGCGGTCCGTCAGGGCCGTGGTAGCATAATTGGTCAGTGCATTCGTCCGGATTGCGAAGGGTGCGGGTTCGAGTCCCGTCTGCTGCCTGGTCCGCGTGGATTTTTTTCTAGTTATATTTTCTTTGGATACAATATTGATTCGCAAGATTGTTTGATTACATTAGAATGCGTTACGTTTGACTTTAACTCTATCAAATCATTTTTCATGTCATTATATGTCAAAGGAACATCCCAATAACTGGTTGACGTAGGAAAGAAGGGCCATCCCACCATAAAATGAAGGACGAGAGGTCCTCCAGCCGAACTCCGCGCGCAACTAAGTCAGCAGGATTCTCCTTGCCGCTTATATGACACCATGGAAACTCATCCGCCAACTCGTGTATTTAAGCTGTTCTGTTCAGGACAAACGTTATTTGTAAATTCGGTGACATGGGTAACCGTCCTAAAACTACGCATTCCTGCAAAGGATGCGAAACGTCAATCTATATACATAAATAAAACTCAAAGGTGACTGACTAACATAGTGATCCATCAACGCACAGCCCAAACCACTGGACGGGTCGGGCTGAAATTTGGCATGCAGGTAGATGTTATGACGTAGGCATCCGCTAAGAAAGGATTTTGATCAATTCTACCCCCAAGGAGATAAAATAGGAAATGAAAGTTTGTATGAAACTTTGTCAATTTTAAACCGATCGGGCTGAGACTTTACATGCAGGTGTAAGAAGAATCATAGATGAATGTCATTGTTTTTAATACAAGCCTGAAAAGAAAAACTGTAGTCTACACTTCAGCTCTACACCGAAGCGAAGCAAGGGCGGGCGGGCCGCTAGTAAATAAATAAAAACAGCGCATCTAACCCGTTTCAACTTGTTTTATTTAATCGTCACATTCAAATTTAAAAATCAATTTACGTAGTGGAAAACAAGCCGACTGCAAAACTTGGGAAGTTATGAATATGATACATAATAAGTAGGTATATTAAGTTTCTTAGGTTTTCGCGCACATCACTCATTAAATAAAACTAGTTTTTACGGGTTAATGCACGAAATTTTATTTATTTATTGACGTTTCGTAGCCTTTACAGGCTACGTTTACAGTTTTATCCTGACGACGTAGCCTGTAAAGGCTACGAAACGTCAATAAATAAATAAAATTTCGTGCATTAACTCGTAAAAACTAGTTTTATTTAGGTATATTAATTTATTTTTATTATCCAAAGAGGTAAGCATGACATCTACGAGTACATAAAAATCGTAAGCGATTTTTTTTTTTAAATCAGAGTTCGTACAATCGAGCGTAAGTTGTTTAAGGCCCGTATTATAGAAAGATTCTCAGTGATTGATCTAGTCTTGAGCATAGTTAGAAAGGGATGTCGCTATATATAGCACATAGCGACATCCCTTTCTAACTGTACTCAAGTAAAGATCAATACTTAGTTGTTAGTTGACGCACACCTAACACTAAGGAAAGGTGCGGAGGCGGTACTGTAAAGCCCGTAGCGTTACGGCCTCCTTGCTTATGTAATGCCTACGGCTGGCAGTTATATTAAAAAGTAAACGTCATTATTTTTCCAGATTTTGAATATGAGGATCTTTGTCTCATATCGAACATTCCAAAGATGGAATTGAGGCACAGAAAAGAGCGGCTGATAGTAAATGATTATAGATCTCTCAGTTTAGACTACTATGGACTTTGACAGTAGTCTGACAGTTAATGTCGATATATCGCTTTATCATATCCCGTTTCGGTGGTCATGCTAGAGGGGCAGGGCCTCCAATAGGTCAAAGACGGCACTGAATGCTCGGTACTGTAATGCTTATCCTGAAGGAAGCCCTGGGGAACGTAGCAATTATTACAATAAGAACACTTGGGATGTTTAACTTTGTTTATTTTAAACTGAGAGATCTATAATCATTTACTATCAGCCGCTCTTTTCTGTGCCTCAATTCCATCTTTATCATATCCCGTTTCGGTGGTCATGCTAGAGGGGCTGGGCATATTAGGATAATGGAGGCCCTACGACCCCCGTTTGGTGATCTAACAAGAACTAGGGACTTTGTATTTGTTATCTGAGGTGCCCACCTATCGATCACGGGGCCCTGGGCACTTGCCCAAAGTGCGCACTGGGAAAGACCGGTCTGCGTACATTACAGTTTTTAATTGATAAATACCTAACGGTTCAGAAGGATCGTCACTCCAAACAATAAGCTGTAAGTCACGCTGTGATTCGTGTATAAGGCACTGCTTGTACATTTTTTCAATATCTGCGCATGCAGTGTACCTGAGTTTTCTAAAGCGTAGCAACATATCTACCAAATCACATTGTAATGGCGGCCCTATACGTTTCATATCGTGTAGTGATAAACCGCTGGTTGTAACTGCACTTGCGTCGAAAACTACACGAAGTTTAGTAGTGGTGCTATGCTCGCAGAACACAGTGATGCGGCAAAAAAAATTTGGGGTTCCATACGACTTCACAAAAAGCTTGATATTATCCATATACATCAAGTGTTGTATTTCTTGTTAATTTATATCCCGTAATGGATTAAGAGCAAGACAAAACCACAGAGGACTTAGAGAATCAACTTGAAATATGCCGTTCTTAATATATATATCGTTTGTTACGTTCTTTCCTATATTAGAAGAAAGATGGAGTGTAGTTTTCCAATCAGCCATAGCAATTTCTAAGAATGTTAACATAGATGGGTTAATTTTATATATCTCTGTTTGTGTGGCAGAACCGTCAGTATTAACCTGCAGGCGGTAGCATAGATTCAATTCGAGCGGAAAGTCTGCTGTGCCCTTATTATCTTATACTCCAGTTAGATATTAATATTATATTGACGACCTCCATGACCGAGTGGTTTGTACGCCAGTTTTCGAGGTGTCGCCTACTCGAGAGGTCCCGGGTTGGAATCCCGGAGGGGGCAGATATTTGCGTGAGGTAAACGAACATTTGTACTTGAGTCATGGATGTTTAATATGTATTTCTATAAAAATATACTTTTATATGTATATCAGTAAATATGTATATTCTATAACACGTATCCCATAACAGAAGCCTACAGTGCTTACTTTGGGGCTGGGCTAATTGGTGTGAGTGTTGGATATATTGATTTATTTATAGTCAACTATTACAGTAAAATTTTAATTCTTCTAGTGATCCATACTTGGTTAGCCACAGTCAAGGTCACCCCCACTCTTCCCGACCGCAATCACCCGTAATTCATTTTTCCTTTTTTTATTTGTTCTCTTCCTTTTTTATTGGGTTTCACTCTGTTCCCAATATTTTTCAGTTTTTACGATTTTCAAACGCTGTCCATATTAGACCAAGGATCAGGCCTTGGTCTTATAAGCTACAGTGCATTTTCCAAATTTTGTCAATTTTTGGGTACGCTTACGAAACATAAATTTTCGAGAAACATGTTAGTGTAAATATTACTAAAATATGAAACTGGTGGTATTAGCCCTTTGGAAAAATATTCAGGAAAAATCTGTGATTTCTGATTCATCTTTAACAAATTTTGATTCATCTGGGCACTAAATATTTAAACATCGATATCTTGAAAACGAGTTGACAAAAACGAGTCATTCCATAATTTCGTGTGGGTATGTGCTACAGAGCTGAGCAAAGTGAGATTAAATATTGGCTAGTCATCTAGCCAAAAATTTAATCTCAGTGTTTCAATAGACTGTGGTTTAGTATGTAAGCAGTACCTATAAATTCATATCAGTCGAAAAATGAAATTTCGAAGAACTACCCAAAAATCATTAGACATATACAAGCATAATCACATTCGTATTTACGATTTTCATACTTTAATCGCAAAAAAAATCGGAAACCTTGAAAATAAAGACGTTTTCCAGTTCCTTCCCTTTTAGAATAAACAAAATTTATGAGTCTCCCCTAATAAGTACGCAGTACGCATCTTTTTAGTTTTAGTTTGGCCTGGACTAAAACAGAAGCTTCTTTTTTCCCGGATAAACTTTAAATATGTGTAGGAAAATAAAAATCGTAGGTACTACTTACATACAAAACCTACATTTTTAAGTTTTTTTTTTTAAATCTAAGTCCAAAGTGGTTCACCACAGTCCACTGTATCACTGCCAAAGTGAAGTTTACAATAAAATTTTCAGGAAAACTCAAGAAAACTCAGAAAAAGTTCGTTGTTCATGTATAACAATTTTTATTTGTGGAGTGACCATAATCATATAACAGTATAATTCAACTGTGCAATTCTCAGTGTTATTTTTAAAGTGCCAATAAAATGCTCTATTGAACTGTGGACATAATTTATTTAGTTATATAATAATAGTAATAATAATTAATAATAAAATTTACATTAATCTAATTTCTAATAAATTAAATATATCACATCGCCGTCATGGATTGCGGACCCTTGTTAACGCCATTGTATTCGTGGTTAGTAAATCAGCTGAAACAATACACAATTTATAAATTCATAAATACTATTTGTTTCTTATATTTTCACGCACATCACTCCGATATAATATAATTAAATAAAACTAGTTCCAACGGGTTAGATGCACTGATTTTATTTATTGACGTTTCGCATCCTCTGCAGGATGCGTCGTCTGTATTATATTATCAGGCGACGCATATAATATATTTTATTTTGTTTTATATTTTGCTGGCACATTACCCTTCTATCTCTGTTGAACTATCCTTCGACTTAAAGGTTGTCTGGAAGAGATCGCTTTCAGCGGTAAGACCGCCTTTACCCACCATAGTTTACTGTCTGTTTTGTAAACCCTTTAATTGTGTATGTGTGAGTAATAAAGTGTTTATCTATCTATCTATCTATCTCATCAGTCATAAATACTATTTTAGATGGGCGACAAATTTTACTTTTTTTAGAAAATCCCGCAATTAGATTAATATCAGCAATCACAAATAAATATATCTTTATTCAACACTGACACTCATCCTACCCATAGGCTATATACATGTTGGCCATGCGGAGGCCAATATAAATGTATAAACAGCATATTTGTCTTGCCTTGTCATCGCTCGATGTCCCTTGCCTAACTCCGAGTAAAGGGAAGCACCAACGTGTATAGATCTCATTTGGCGTCGCTTGCCGGCACTCGCTGTAGCTCGCCAACATTTGTCCATAATAACTGACAGCGCACCAACATTCGCAGCCCCATAAGGTACCCATATTAGTAATTTGCATTGGTCTTTTTCAAACTTGCCCAATGTCTAGACGGTAGCACTTGCCTTATATCAGTTTACCTGCGCTCGCGTTGGGCTGATCCCAGCCAATATGAAGAAGCGACTTTACAATAAGGCATGCCCGCTAACTGATGCGGCAACCGAATGTGCCGCTCCAGCCATCGTCATCTATTCGACCAAAACCAAATTCTCTTACCCCATGGCTGACCCAAAATTTATCATCTCGAACTCCTCCGTGCTGCGAAAGACATGTTGACTCATTGGTCCCGGCTGGATCAGCAGTCGTAAGCACCCACCATACGTTAAGCTCGTGGTGAGTCATGACCCAAGGCCTGTGCCCTGGCCAAGGTATGTGCCAAGAGACTGATCCCAGCCAATATGAAGAAGCGACTTTACAATAAGGCGTGCCCGCTAACTGATGCGGCATCCGAATGTGCCGCTCCAGCCATCGTCAGCTATTCGACCAAAACCAAACTCTCTTACCCCATGGCTGACCCAAAATTTATCATCTCGAACTCCTCCGTGCTACGAAAGACATGTTAACTCATTGGTCCCGGCTGGATCAGCAGTCGTAAGCACCCACCATACGTTAAGCTCGTGTGGTGAGTCATTACCCAAGGCCTGTGCCCTGGCCAAGGTTTGTGCCAAGAGACCTTTATTAGGCTGATGAAGATGACTCCAGGGTAACTCCTGTTCGAGGTCGCTTAAGATACAACCGATTTCGACGTGGTTGCTTCCCAATCAGGAACCCACACCGCCCCGATAAGGCACATCCCAGTGTTATAGTGGGTAGTAATAAAGTGGAGTCTCACAAAATCCTGTTGCATGGTCCAGGGGTAGGGTATTCGAAACGCATTTCAGTGGTTCAGAAATATAAATTAGTAGCGAGTGGTGCTATGCTCAGGTTTCAGTTCTGTGAAATTCTGCGACTACATCACCCTTAATTTCTTCTCCGTCTTGTGCTCTTTACAGCTGCCGTTATTCGTACTCTGTGTAATGTAAAAGAGGCTCACTCTATCTGCCGAAGCTGCCGGATGAGGAACTAGCGCTGGCGGAAGACTTGGAGAAGGACTGGCCGCCGAAGGGCAAGCCTCCGAAGCCGCCTTGCCCGCCGCCCGGCCGGTGGCCGTATCCGTTGAAGCCGCCGCCGCCACCGCCGCCTCCACCGCCACCGCCACCGTACCCGCCCAGGTTACCACCCTCGTAATGCCGCTTCTCCCGGTCACCTAAACAAATATAAATAAATAAAAGATTATTTCCCACACTCACACCAATTAGCCTAGCCCCAAAAGAAGCAATGTAAGCCTTGTGTTATGGGATGCTGGATGCTGACAAAATACATATACCAGGCCAGCTCAGAAAATTTTGCGAAAAAAAGTTTTTATGTATAAGACTTAATAACTGGCCACTTGTAATAATTTTGAAAACTTCGATTATTACAAAGTAAAAATACAACTTTCAATTTTAAAATTTCCAAATACCAATAAAATTTTTCTTGTCTCATTAAAGAATGGATCTGCATCGAGAAAATTTTCGTGCTATGATTTTTTACGATTCTAAATTTGTGTGTGTGGCTTAAAACCTGATGAGTCATTTGATCGATTTCACACTCCTTTTATGGATGAAGGAGCTTCAAAAGGAACCATCTACCGCTGGGTGTCTTACTTTGGGGGATGAACAAAGGAGCGGTCGTCCTACGACGACTGTCACAGACGAAAGTATGCTGGCTCTAAAAAAAATTAAATTCAAGAAAACAGGCGAATTACGTACGAAGAAATTCAGCATACTCTGCAGATTGGTTCAGGAAGTGTTCACAAGATTTTGCACGAGCACCTTTGCGTAAGGACAATAGTTTCCCGCTGGATGCCGCACAACCTCACCGAAGCTCAGAAGCAGACCCGTGTGGATTGGTGCAGTGATATGATACAAAAATTTGATGCAGGCTCGTCACCCCGTGTTTACGATACGTGACAGGTGACGAATCCTATATTTATCAATACGATCCAGAAACAAAGCATCAATCGGCAGTTTGGCTGTTTCAAAATGAACCAACGCCTACGAAAGTAAAGCGATCGACGAGCGCTGGGAAAATTTTGATCGCTAGTTTCTTCACTTTGTCGGGATACCTAATTTCAATTCCACTTCGAGACTAAAGCAGCATCAACGCCAAATGGTACAGCACAAAATGCCTGCCAGAAGTTTTTTCTGCAATGAGCAACAAGTGACCTAACACCGGGCTCCGCTGGGTCCTTCTTCACCACGACAACGCGCTCGCGCACTCTGCAATAAAAACGAAGGACTTCCTGGACTCCACACCAGTCAGAGTCTTGGGACACCCTCCACCACCCTCCCTATGCCACCTTACAGTCCTGATTTGGCTCCGAGTGACTTCTTTTTATTCCCTAAAATAAAAAATCAGCCCAAAGGGATACGATACAGTTTTCTTCGCCGGAAGAAGCGCTAGCAGCGTTTGAGAAGGCCGTGGAAGAGGTGCGGAAGACTGGAAAAAAATATTTGAAAATTGGTTCAGACGCATGAAACTTTGTAAAGAGGCTGGTGGTATTAAACAAATATTTAGTTTTTTAGTTTCTTTGAGAAACTTTAGAAAGTTTTGAACTTTCTTAGTGTCCCACGTATAAGTATTTTTATCTAGAAATGTATATAAACCTCCATGACTAGGGTATATGGTCGCATTTATCATACTTACACTCGCCCCCACTGGGATTCAATTGAACGAGCAAGAGAAGATTGCAACATACGGTGACTTAAACCCAGTTGATGATGTCTCCGACTTTTTGAGTGAATGCCGTTAACTCTGACTGCAACTTTGAACAAATTTTATTGACTATCCATGGTGCTATATGCATCATCTCAGAGCACTAAACAAGTCAAGAAAGAGTGTCACGGCTGCTACAGATTGAACAAGCAGGAGAAGTTTGCGAATACAGTATTAAAACAGTATAATGTCATCCTTATTTCTTTCAGAGCAAGTTAGGCTTCATTGCTACTTAATTTTGTTTTACCTAATGTTTATTTGGAAGAGTCAAGAAAGTCCGGAAACTAAATATTTTTGGTTCTCCAAGATACAGGCTTAGCATAGTTTGGGAACCTCTGTGTATTCGGTTGTGCATTCATTCTTCCAATGCACAAATGCTCCTCCATATTTGTATCTGCAGTATGTATATTGTTACTTTGTGCGAATAAATAAATTATTCTTATTATATTATGGGTAAAGTTGATCCAATACATACCTGGTGCGGTGAACACAGACGCCACCAGTAGAAGAACAGCGAACACAGTGAGGGCGGCCATGATGGCTGGAGCGGACTGTGCCTTCCTCAGCGGCGGTCACTCGCTTTATACCCGACACCCGAGCCTCGAACTGCCCAATCATCCCGAATTGTTTACGCCAAACTGGCCGATTCGAAGAGTCATCAAATTTTTTACAGTACCGCCCACGTGACACAACAAATTCAGCGGTTTTCCACAACGAAATTGGTATCGGTACGTTAGTAAAAAAATACCCCCGTTAGGGATCCGTTGATGTAAAGGGGAACGTTACGAAACCCTGTCTTAGGCCCATATTATATGAACGCGGCACAAGCAGCATTTAAACTCGAATCACGCAATTTTCAGTACTTAATTGCTCAGCAAATTACAGGTCGCGTTTAAGAGCAAATCAGCTGAAACTAGAATCTCTCATCGACTTTTTTCAAATTTGCCTATGGGCTCAATATGTTTTCAATAATTGCACTTTAGAAAATAATCAACATAGAGGTATGTCAAAATTCATAAACTCGCGTTACAACTTTATTTGGGACTATAGTACGTATTCTCTTCTTAAGAATGGCATCGAACACACTTTAGTAAACAAAGATCATATCTTTGCTTAAATTACTTAATTATTACTTTGACGTAAATGTGACTTACCTTCTGAAATAAGCAATTACTCAGCCGAGTTTTGATCAATGTTTATGTCCCAAACCACGTTCTAAAATTAAATCTCGTTTTGAAACTACTTTTAAAACTAGATTTCTCATGAAGCAATGTTCCATAGGTTTTAGATTGCATGCAATTAAAGAATGGGATCCTTTAAAAGAGGCGTAAAAAGCAACATGCAGGCCGGCAAGGTGAGGATGGCTGGTGTGGCAGGTAGAACTACTGTACCAACTATCTTCACGTCTGGACTTCACCGACACTTAACATCAGGTGGGGCGGAATCATTTGTCGGATCTATAAAGCCTAAGTGTAAATAAACGGAGTGGAGTACGCCCGTATTAAAGTAGAATTCCTTTTATCTTTTTATTTATTTTTAAGCATTTAACTGCTAGATGTTTAAATCTAAAGAAAAGTTTACTAGAAAAAAATCCACGCGGACCAGGCAGCGGACGGGACTCGAACCCGCCCCCTTCGCAATCCGGGTGAATGCACTGACCATTATGCTACCACGGCCCTATTAGCCGAGTCGAAATTTTCCTAGCCTTAAGCTGCAAGGCAGCGCCATCTCTTCGCATTGTAGGTAACCCACAAAGTCAAATGAATACTTTTTCAAGTATTAAACATTTGAAAGAAGAAATAGCAATTATAGTTATGTTTTTATTTATTTTTAAGCATTTAACTGCTAGATGTTGAAATCTAAAGAAAAGTTTACTAGAAAAAAAGTGGTACATAATGGTCAGTGCATTCGCCCGGATTGCGAAGGGTGCGGGTTCGACTCCCGTCCGCTGCCTGGTCCGCGTGGATTTTTTTCTAGTAAACTTTTCTTTGGATTTCCTTTTGTTTACCCAACACCGTCTTGCATATTGCTTCTGGTGCTCGTATTCGAGCAATGACTTTCGTGCATTCGATTACGCCCTAACAACCAAATGTAATTGCGGCATTATATAAAAACGGTTTACCTACTGTAACGATCCTTTTTTATTCTATAAGATGTAGGTTAATCTACCTATTCAGCGATTTAATAGATATAAATTTCCACGGAACCCTTTGCAATAAAATATTTAAACTCAGTACTGCTAGGTAACAAATAAATGTACCGATACGGTTTAAAACGACAATAGAGGACGTGTTCACAACAAAAAATACAAAACGTCAAAGAATTTTCAGTCGTATACAGCAGTCAATAAGTATTAGCAATAAAAATATCGGATACAATAAAAACACTTCCCAGAAACGTTTAATTAGCTCTCCCGCTTTTTGCGTGGAGTTTAATGACCTTACCTTAAGTTTCATACTTATTACCTTAACATTTTAAGTTGTAAACACTGAAGTTACAAGTTTGAAAAATAAAACACAAGTCGATTCTCAAATCACCCAATATGATGCTACTTTGTTACCATGAATACCTTATTTTTTACTTGGACCGCTCCATCGCTACTTTTATCAGCGAGAATTCCAAAGAAATAGAAAATTCTGGAATAAAAAAAAGTATCTGTTGACCTCAGTAGTCGAGTGGTTTGTTCACCGGGTTTTAACATGTCGCCTACTCGAGAGGTCCCCGATTCGAATAGATGTTTGTGTGATAAATACTAGAATTTGTACTCCAGTCATGGCTGTTTAAAATTTATTTCGACATAAATATACTTATATATGTATCAGTAAATTTATTCTATCCGTCATCCTAGTATCCCATAACACAAGCCTACAGTGCTTACTTTGAGGCTAGGCTAATTGATGTGAGTATTGTTCATATTTATTTATTGATCTTCCATCTAATAAACTATGTGTGCCTTCCATCCAAATCCGTTCAGCCGTTTTTGCGTGATTATCTGAGAAACATACAAGCATATAAACTTTCATATTTATAATATTACATAGGATAACGCATTTGCTGGCACTTAGTTGGAATCGCAAAAGGACGGATTCTCATTTCACCGGAATACAGTTAATAAGAAAAACGCTTACGATAAAAACCCATAGCGATGCTGAAAAGAGTGATCTAACGGGAGTGGGCGAGGTATAAGAGTGAAACGATATTTTTGCCTTTTCGAGGTACTTGTACCAATCATCTGTTTCCTCAGAGGAAAGCGGGAATAGCAAGTCAGATAATTTAATAATGTTATCAGTGGTATTTTTATTTTTTTAACTGCTAGATATTTAAATCTATAGAAAATTATTTCAAATTATTATTTATAAGACAAAGGAAAAAAGGAACTCGATGGCGCAAGTGGTTAGCGCGTTCGGCTGCGATCGTTGAACTTAAGCAACTTTCGCAGTGGTCGGTCATTGGATGGGTGACCAAAAATTAATCTCGAGCTCCTCCGTGCTTCGGAAGGCACGTTAAGCCGTTGGTCCCGGCTGCATCTGCAGTCGTTAGCACCCACCAATCCGCACTGAGCCCGCGTGATGGGTCTTGGCCCAATCTCCCTATTCCATCCATAGGGAAGGCCTGTGCCCCAGCAGTGGTGACATTAATAGGCTGATGATGATGATGATGATGATATATAAAGAAAATTAAATTATTATTACCTGGCCCGCGTGGAATTTTTCTGGTAAAATTTTCTTTAGATTAAATGTAATCAAAGTTTCAATCGCTGCGAGCCTGAGACTTAGAGCAGAGCTTACCAGAGCTGTCACCTTATCCCCTAGTTCCTATACAAGGTCAGTTCTGATTGTTGCTGGTGTTAAGAGTAGGTAGGGCCCAACCTATTTAAATTAATAACAAACGATTTTACGATATTTTTAACTCGTTATTAACTATTTCCATATTTTCTAGTAAGTTTTGTTTTAGTGATGAGATAATTACATTCTCAATTTTTTGTCTAAGAAATGCTTAAAACGTGTCTCGCCTTTAGTTGCAAGACTTTGGTATACGACTTTTCCGACTAAAACCTAGACAACACTCATGCGGCTGCCACCAGCACTTTCGATGACCAAAACTTTCGTCATAGTCGTGGCATCTTGTTAAAACGAACCGCTGACAGGCACTACCGTACCTACCAGGTACCTCTTATCTATTAGACAAGTCCGTCCGTCCGTCCGTGGTGCTGTTTCAGCGGCCAAACCGTAAGAGATAGATATAGAGAATGTTTAAGTTATAAGTTAAGAATAGTCTGATAAGACTACAAACCGGATGTGAGTAACGTAGCACTTCCGGTTTTCGAGAAATCACGTGATTTCTATTTCAAACGAAACCACACAAAATCTCCGAAGTTCTCAATTAATTAAATACATTTTTTTTTTTTGGTGAACATTTGGTTCACTGGTTTGCTAGTTAAGTATAATATAAGTTTCTAAGAACCACATGGATGTCATCCATACTCTTTAAAGACACATCAGTACCCCCAGCACAAACCAATATCGAATTCGGATAGTTTGCGAGTCCGAAATGTTATTGTCAAATGTGTAGTGGTTTTACGTACCGTTACGTTCTTTGTGGCGCTGCTGTTCAAATTTCCATACAAAATTTGACATTGACATTTCGGACACGCAAACTATCCGAATTCGATATTGGTTCGTGCTTCTACTACTGTACATATTATTTAATATTTGGAGCGCCGATCTAAAAGAAGTCGTATTCATTACCCTGTAATGAATCATTTGTTTTTGAAAGAGGACTCCTAAAGAGGAAAAATTCCTTTCTTACCCATGGTGTACCTAACAAGTTGACCTGGGTGGACTAAGGCTCTTGGTACCACACCTCAGAAAATAAAAGGTGAAAAGGTAAATCAAAAAAGACACCATTTTATTTCGCAAAAAGATTTATTTACAAATATTTAAAAAATAAATGGCATACACCACTGTAACAATCTATACTTATAAAATATAATTATTTATGTAGATATTTAAAATATAATGCCTGACTATTTATTACCATCGATTGTTACAACTTAGAGACGGACATTTTGTTTACACTATAATATTATTTATCCGAATTATAATTAACTTTTTAGTATTGTATGAGCTGACATTATATCTATTATACATAGTATAGTCTTAAATGTTATAACATTCAAATGCGACCGCATGTTTCAATTTAAAAAAAAAGTTTGCTTTGCTTGTATAGGTGGCGGCAAACTTGAACAAAACAGGCACAGACAAACTAATAAACTTGCGCATTAGATATTTTTATATGTAAAATAACTACTGCGCAGAATTCCTTGTCTATAGTCGTTGCCCAAGAACTTTGCCGGCATGTATCATTCTTGTGCGTTTTGGTGTAAGCTGTGTTTAAAACCACATCATGAAGTCAACCATGTAAGGACTCCAAACGAAAAAAAATCAATATCTTAGTGTTTTGTACCAAAAATAACTTTATAACATAAATGTGTGTACATGCATATACTTAGCCGAAGTTTAATAAAAAAAATATTTATAAATACCAAATGGGTCCAATTTAAAACAAAAATCTTTTTCCAATAATATCATATATAACATGAATAGATTTTTACTATCTCCTTGTGTTACGTCTATTGCAGATTGCCATGTCAAAAATATTACTTTTTGATAATAAAAAAAAAAAACAATATCATTGTTTTAAAAGTATTGTAACTTCCCATATAATAATTGTAGTAAATAAATATATTGTAAATGAAATATAAATTCCAGTAGTATATTACTCACTATAACTAAATTGCCGACTAGTAATATGGTCAATATCAACCAAAGCGCTGTCAAATGCATAATAAAATGGCATGATACAATCCCATCTGGGATTATAGAAAGCGCAGATCCATCGTTGTGGGCACGATGGTCATATATTTAAAGGCAAACTTTTTGGGCAAACCCATAGACAAATAAACTTGCGCAGTAAACGTTTTGTATGTAAAATTGCTACTGCGCAGGCTTCACTGTCTATGGACGATGCTAAAGAAGTTTGCTGGGGTGTGTCACACTTTCACCGCGTTATTAATAAACAAGGAATAAGCTTAGAATAGTTACGCCCTGTTTTGTTCATGTCAATCAAATATAGATATAGATAGAGATAAAACATGGAGTTACTAATCCAAGCGTAGCCTTCGTGTATTAATAAGGGGGTTAGGGTTTAATAAGATAAAATGAGGAAAAATTTAATCAAAATCCATTTATGTAATTATATTCATGTGATATTAAGTTAAAAACATAGTTCACTTTTGTACTTTTTTAAGCAATCTAAATAAAACTTTACAGGTTTATCATTTACCTTTGTGGTATTACACTCTGTACAAAAGCTGTGTAGGAATTGCACTTGGCCGATTTTTGGTTAGCTGTGCACACAACCTGATTTTAGGGCTAGATTCGCGCCTGATTATAGAAGGATTATTTTTAGTTTTGAAATTGTGATTGATTTAACAAATTCTTCTATAATTGCACATTAGCGGGCATAAACAATGCTAAATATTTTACTAGCCCGATGAAAATAGGTCCAGTATAAAATTGACGCGTAAATAGATTCCTTAATATGGAAAAGTTAAAACAAAACTTTCATTTTATTTTCCCACATACAACATAATAAAATTGCAAATAATGCTAGAAAACATTATACTTATTTACGCTCTACAAAACACTTCGAAATTAAAAAAAAACTACATTACTTTAATCTTTTAAGTTAAAAATTGCACAGATAATGCACTGATTATTATGTTCAATATATTATAATTATTATTAATATTCTGTCATTTTTGAGAAATAAACATCCTAAATCATAAAAATTCATTACCTAGATATAATTATGTCGTTTATTACCCGTACTCCACCTAAAAAGTTCACCTGCATGAACTCCGGAAAGTTGTTATGACCCTTGGTTCACCTCGGGACTAAGAGAAATTGTTCTGACCCTTGATTCACCTGGTTGGACCACGGATAATGGCGCAGACCATAGCTCCATCGGACATCCCATTGATGGGACGATGGAAAAGAACCTTTGACCGTGAACCCATTGACCAAGATTAGGAACCACCATAATTTAATTTTACTTCAGTATCGCTTTTCTATGAAACTACTTATACTAATGTAACAAAATATGATCAAAACGACAATCTACTTAAAAAAAAATACGTACATTAATAAAGTACCAGGAGACCATACATGGCTAAGAGGTTCTGGTTATGAAAATGGAAAAAAGGTCTTGTTTAATAATTGTTTATGTTTGTGTTGTGTATCGATACAAACGACAACAAACTGCTCTGTAGGAGATAAACAAAATAGTAGTAGTTAAATATTATTCCTAGTTCAACCAGGTGTAAGAAGGATCCGCGTCAGTTTCCGTGGTCCACCCAGGTGAACCAAGGGTTAGAACAAGTTTCCGGAGTCCACACAGGTGGACCAAGGGTTAGAACAAGTTTCCGGAGTCCACACAGGTGAACCAAGGGTTAGAATAAATTTCCGAAGTCCACACAGGTGAACCAAGGGTTAGAACAAGTTTCCGTAGTCCACACAGGTAAACCAAGGGTTAGAACAAGTTTCCGGAGTCCACACAGGTGAACCAAGGGTTAGAACAAGTTTCCGGAGTCCACACAGGTGAACGAAGGGTTAGAACAAGTTTCCGGAGTCCACACAGGTGAACAAAGGGTTATAACAACTTTCCGGAGTCCACACAGGTGAACCAAGGGTTAGAACAAGTTTCCGGAGTCCACATAGGTGAACCAAGAGTTAGAACAAGTTTCCGGAGTCCACACAGGTGAACTTGTTTGGTAAACCACGGGTAATAAACGAATTATGTGGCTTCGTCGTTGTTCATTTTATTATGCTAGCAGTCAGCAATAGGATAGTCAAATATCACAAAATTAGTAAAATAAATTTTATTGTGATTTTTAGTTAATTAAATTAAGTTTCATCATATTTTTGACTTTATAGTCAATATTTTGTCTTGGTTTTATAACCAAGACAAAATATTGGAGGTAAATTTAAAAATCTTGGTGATTTTAAGATTTTGTTAAGTGTAATATTCGAATATTTTATATCGTTTAATTTTTTGACAGTGTGATCTGACTTTGTGATATAATTAAACTAGGTATATTCGTCGCCATATGATCAGCTACGATCAATTCATTTACGAAACTAAAAGACAGAACTTAATAATAAAATGTATGTCGATTAAATATATAAATTAGAAGATTTAATACAGTAGTCTTGCTATGTCATAAGCATATAACAGAGGTACTTTTGATTATATTTAAAATGAATACATAATTCGCCGACTTTAACGTAATAGTTTCTCTATTAGGTAAAATAAAGACAAATTCACACTAAATTTATGTAAAACAATGAACATTTTAAAACCTAAAGTTGATTGAAGTTTGTTTTTGGGTTTCAAAATAACAATAATGCTTTTAAAGAAGGCACATAAACATTAAACTAAATGTAGTTTAAACTCTTATTGCAGAAATTGCATGCAATATTAAAAAATCTGACTTTAATGACCGACACAATATATAGTGTTTACAATATAGTAGCAAGTGATCATAGTGTTTGATCAGCAACGTAAAAACATTGTAGTAATATATAAATGTATATTTGAAAATAATAATTTGATCGCTGAAACAACAATAATTTTAAACATTTCTTTCTATTCTAAACATAACGTTAATATTCAAAAATAATCCTCAAGTCAATCGGTCATTCGTCAAGCCAGAAATTGGCAAAATATAATTTTAAAACACTTTGCAGCAATCTACAATTTGCTATAGAAAATACACATTGCCCAGCCTCCTTAATTTTGTAAATTAATTATACTTCGTACAATCATGGCAAAAGAAATACATATTCTGAACTTGTTAATAGCTGTTCGTTAAAAACACAATAAAATTTATGTCGTCCATTTATTTCCTTCGTCACGGTTATGAGACTTTATAAAATCACTCTCACTCACACTTTTAATAATTTTAAGCATGTTTTAAAAATAATTTTGTCAAAAGTGTAAACAAATGTCTATTTTATCAAAACGAAATACATTAAAAATTAACAATTCGACAAAAATCTATGACGATAGGTATTCAAAAAATTTAGTAGTCTGTTATTTGTAGCATGAATAAATGCACTCAATTTTAATATTTTGACAGGTTTTCTCTTATTTATCATTATAGGTAGTTGAGGAATTTAAACAATTATCAACCTTAAGTGACAGACCACCAGCATCGTAACTGCACATTATGTATACCAAAATTATTTACATTTAAAAGTCACGTTAAGTATATTTACTTAAATGGGGTGTGCAAAGATTATTAACACTTGTACTAAACTGTATATAAAATTGATCAGCGTACAATTAGATAAAAACTGATTTCACTATAAAAAAAATACACAAACAATTACTACAGGTAAAATCTTACAACTATGAGTTTATTTTAATATTTGATTATATTTTAATTCGTCTAAAATATATTTACAATATTAGCAATATTTTGTTAAAAAAAAAACAATCTAATCTATTATATAACGTCTAATCACTAGCCATGTAATTCGCAATAATCGAAATGTACCGCTCTGTTTGGATTCACTATGTTGCAAAGGTCTTATAAAAAGTCACTTATGTACACAACAGTTTAAAATAATGTGAAAAACTATTAAATATATACAGAATGTATAATTGATAAACTAATTAATTTAAAAGTTCTATTTATTGCACTAGAGAGATGGCTTTATTTCACAGAATAGTAAAAAACTTGGCAAAAAAAAAAAGCGCACGTGTTTATGCATTTATTTATTATGCAACTTCGTTTTGATTAAGAAAGAATTTGCTAAATATATATACTACAACTATATAATGTTACTAAATAAAAACAATAAATCTTTAATTAGCTACAATTTTTCTACACAAGTTTCGATTGCAAAAGTATGGACATTCCTACTAACTAACTTCAAGTACACACAAGAATTTTACTATTCTGCGTTTAACAATAAAAACGTGTAACACAATATTTAACAATTTCCATGTAAGACCACTCCAACAGAAGATAAATCCAGCTTATTATTATTTAATCAGTCCCAGGAGAGTGTGATTATGTAAAATAAAATGTAAAAGAGAAAATATTTACATAAAAGAAGTCATGTGATGTAAAATTAATTTCACCCAATTCCAAATTGGGGACGGTGTGAAGTTAAAACATAAGGAATCACCCTGAACTCTGCGCTCATACACATTAGGGTTATATTATTATGATATTAAATTTACATACGTAAAAACAATTATCAGATACAATTTTTTTTTTTTGTTATTGTAGGTTAATCTGATGCAACTTACAGATTTAAGTAGTACATATTTAATATTGAGCAGATATACTTACATAAAGTAGTATAACTAGCGTAAAAAATGCATAGATACATCAGAAAATTAGACACTGCAATACATACAACATCAGTCATTTAGATCCGTTGAAATTTAGACTTTAAGAGTCACGTGTTTAAGTAAATAATGATTATTTTAGTGAGCACATCTACAAACGTGCTTGGGTATTTTTCTACTTTTGTAATAAATCCATAGCCCGGCTAAGTATGAATTTATTAAACATTTTCGCTGTTTAAAACGGATTCCTTAACTACGGTCACAGATAAAGCCACACTGAATACGATTTTTATCTCACAAATGTGGCCGATCCATACTATTCTTTCATCAATTCATCATCTGTCTCTTACGCGCATCGTGTTAAGTATAGTAAGCGAAAGAGAGAAAATGCCTTGCGTCGTCATTTAAAATTCATTTATTTATAGGCGCTAAATGTAAATTCATTTACATTTAGCCTTGGTGACGTCTGCATCACAAGTCAGAATTTACGAAATCTACCTTGTTTCTATAAAAAATATCTTTAACAGAAAGAAATACTTTTGTACTATGCATTGTATAATTTTAGTCCTATTTTCGGTAAAAACAAAGTATTGATTTTTTTAAGAAAAGACTTATTACTGAGTGTCACTACCTGCTATAAAAGCTTTTAAAATAATAAAAACTGGTGTACTTTAGCTAAGAAAATCAACTATTCCAAATAACATTTTTATACAAATCTGTGCTTTTTGACATTCAATTCAAACGTTTAACCTAACATTGATACGGTTATAATATTAATACATATTATTATTTACGATGTTAACAAAAAAAAATGATCTTGAATACTTGCTAGAATTTCATTATAAAATTTTGCTAAACTTAGTTATATGGAAAGTCTCAATCAAAAATAAAAGTTATATAGTGGTTACAATTAATGCTTAATCATCAATTTAGTCAGATGTCAATAAGTAACTAATAATGATAAACTACAAACCCAATACTACAGTAAAGTCAAAATTTAACACGAATAAAAGCGGTTCCTATAACTTATTTACTCATCAATTAGAATTAAAAAATAATAAGACTTATTTATACTAAGATAAAATATCACTCAATATGCAAATTTATCATTTAATTTATACTAATGTACAGTCGAAAACTTTGCGACGGCTTATAGAAATGCCTGAAATTTTAAAGATCTAGTTTAAAGTAATTTCGCCTTTAAGGGGCACATAGTTGACTTTCGACTGTAGGTATATATCTAAATATAGTTATAGGAACCGGCAAGTGGTCAGCTGGTCGAGGAAATACAATGCAATGTATGCAATTAATATATAAAATATTACATTTAAACGTCCATTTGAAATTGCATACAACTTGATTTTATTATGCCTTTGGCGACTGTCATTTTCATATTTATATAAGTCCTACTTGTGGGAGAATGCAAACGATATTTTCCACATCCATATGCTGTTTGTTTTTGTTTGGAAGAATCAAAAGATTTTAGGGACTTTATAATGTTATTCCGCTTAGGCAGGGCAGATACCTCAAACTCGACTTGATTGGGATATCGATGATTCGAATGATAACAAGTCATTCACACTTACACCTGTCACTTTATTTCATTAAATATTACTGCGAATACAGAATAAAGAAACTATCGGCTTTTGCAAAATAAACACGTTGAAACATTTATTCGTATTTTTGCACGATGCGTATATTTTAAGGAATCGTCATTGAATATAATTCGTATCTATTCAGAATTCGTAAGTATTCTTGATCGTAATTTATCACGATTCGTAATTTATCACGTAATGTTATTTATCACGATTCGTAATTTATCACGTAATGTTATTTATCACGATTCGTAATTTATCACGATTCGTAATTTATCACGTAATGTTATTTATCACGATTCGTAATTGATCACAAAATGTAATATACCATGATTTGTAATTTATCACGATTCGTAATTTATCACGATTCGTAATTTATCACGATTCGTAATTTATCACGATTCCTAAGTGTTCATGATTCAGAATTTATAACGATTCGTAATTTATCACGATTCGTAATGTATCATAATTTTTCACTTATCACGATTTATAATTGTTCACGAAACTTAAAGTATCAAAATTTCTTATTATTGACGTTTCGTAATTTACCAGAATTCGTAATTGTTACGATTCGTTGTTGTTCACGATTTATAATTTACCAGTATTCGTAATTGTTCACGATTCGTTAATGTTTACGATTCATAATTAAGCTCAATTCGTAATTGTTCACGATTTCTACTTTAGCACGATTCAAAAATGTTCAACATTCGCAATCATATATGAAACATAATTATTGAGGATACTACTTTAACACACTTAATAATTAATAGGTGTAATGTCAACAAATAAATCATATTATTCCTTATTCTATTTGGACCACGTGTTCCAGTTCTAAATGTGATCATATTGCGGTGATGTTATAACAGTATCGGTCACAGGTGAGAATGGTGAGAATCTTACATATTGTTGTTCCTAACGCTATCTCGACAGCGTGTTCCTTTGGCAAACGTAATATTTACGTTGAGTTGTGATGTCGTGTTCCAGTTCACAACTTGATCATTGCTATTGTGATGTAGTATCGGCATCGTTCACAGGCGAGACTCTCATGTGGTTTGCTTTCTTACTCTTAATTAAATTCCAAACGTGATCATTATCATTGCTACGTTCACAGGAGACCATAGAGGAATAAGAATAGATTAGGGGAGATATAAACTCTACTACAAGTAGAAGTGTCCCTCTAATAGAAAAAGAAAGAAGATGAAAGACCACTAGCTTTCTCTCTTTAATCGGGCATGCGCATTGGCAACCGTAAGCATCTTACTATTTCGATGTGATACCATTAGATGCCATACGTCACAAGAGAGAGAGATAGCTAGCGGTCTCTCATCTTCTTTCTCTTTCTACTAAACTGACACTTTTAGAGCAGCCTTCCCCACTCTATTCTTATACCTCTATGGGTGAGACTCGTATGTTGTTCATTTTCTTTCCGAAAACGCGTTCCATTTTCAAACTTGATCATTGTGTTGTAACGATGTAGTTTGTACCGGCGTCGTTCACAGGTGAGACTCGTATGTAGTTCATTTTCTTACCGAAAACGCGTTCCATATTCAAACTTGATCATTGTGTTGTGACGATGTAGTTTGTACCGGCGTCGTTCACAGGTGAGACTCGTATGTAGTTCATTTTCTTACCGAAAACGCGTTCCATTTTCAAACTTGATCATTGTGTTGTGACGATGTAGTTTGTACCGGCGTCGTTCACAGGTGAGACTCGTATGTAGTTCATTTTATTACCGAAAACGCGTTCCATATTCAAACTTGATCATTGTGTTGTGACGATGTAGTTTGTACCGGCGTCGTTCACAGGTGAGACTCGTATGTAGTTCATTTTCTTACCGAAAACGCGTTCCATTTTCAAACTTCATCATTATGTTGTGATGATGCAGTTTGTACCGGCGTCGTTCACAGATGAGACTCGTACGTGGTTTGTTGTCAGAGCTGCGTATCGGACGGGGGGAGGGCGGGGTGCTGGGCGTGTTGGTTATTGTGAGGAGAGGGGAGGAGGGGCGGAGGGGGGCGCGGGTCGGCCGGGTTCATGTCGATGCGCCCCGCTTTACTCCACACCAGCATGTCCATTATGAAAGCGAGGAACATCAGCGCGGCTGAGAGACCTGTTTGAAGAGATAGGTGGAGTGAGTATGAGTGTAAGTAAAGAGAAAGTTGCCAAAATTTCTTGAATGTTATTCGTATTGGAAGCATAATACAATACTATTTTGAAGTCTTACAGTAGTCGCATTATGTCGTTTTACCTTGGTGTTAAGCGAAAGACATAGAGAATGAATAGGGTATTTGACAAGTTTTGGAAAACGATCTCACGTAACTTACCAATGTTTATGGAGTCTAAAAAAAGATGGATATTCATTATTCCCTGGTGTATTACAGTAAAAATAACTGATTCAAAAACTCAATTTTCAAGTTGCCGCGAAAACGTTTCTCTGTGCAATATGGCATCTCACTGCACTGGTGTGTGACGTCACACGACTGTCATCAAAACGTCAAACGATACAATGTACTGTCACTTTGACTGGAAGTTTACTAGTGTGCGACGTCATTTTAGGCTCCGCCGCGTTTTCAATCACGTGACAATAGATATGAAAACTAATATCTTTTTCAAAATTATGAATAAATTTTCTGTAATAATAGTGAAACCCCTGCCAATATTCATTCTTAATACAGATGCTTACAATTATCATTTTATTTAGTCAATACGAGACATTAGTCAATAACGTGAGATCGTTTCCTATAACTTGTCCAATACCCTATTCTAAACAAACTAAATTAATGCAAAATTTGCGCGAAAAAAGATGCCTTTAAAGAGCGTCTGACAGGCAGGCATCATTTTAAAGACGCCTTTAAAAGGGGCTTGACATATTAAAGGAAACAAGGTTAACGTTCACTGACCGAGGAAGAAGTGCCTTAAGTTGTCGCTGTCGTAGGATGCGCAGGCGCCGGTTATTCCGCAGGCGTAGTCTCGCAGACGGCACGCGGCGTCAATGGCTGCGCCGAATATGATGGGGCACGGCACGTTACCAAACACGCCTATCGCGAACTGGATCACGCCCATCGCCATCGCCTTGTCTGTCAACAAATGGGACTCGATGAGAAATACTCCTTTTAAAACGCGACTGAGACCTAACTTAAATTAATATCGGACAGTAAATAATACAAACCTACATCTAATTAGGTCTAATGACGTAGCGTAAAACCTCTGTAGTCTCTGAGGTAGGATTACCATCCTTCTGGATTAGTCCGGACATGTCCGGCTTTGTAGACAATAGTCCGGATTTTGACCAGATCTTTATATTAAAGCTATTTACGGGATTGTTACCATGTACCTCGTTTTTTATGAGTCTCCGATGTATCGGCACTTTTGCAAACGCCATGATCACGGAGTAACTGAAGTAATTGCGGGTAGATGTTATTGGCAGGCTTTTACTGCGCTCGATACCCCTACCACTGGTCACATTCTCACTATTCACTAGCACCTGTTCCCGACACACAATACTCACAGTATCGAAATATCGGAGACTCATAAAAAACAAGGTACATGGTAACAATTTTGTAAATAGCTATAATGTTTGTGACCATGAAAGTTTAAAACAATAGATCTTTATATTGTCCGGATTAAGTTACATTGAATATGAATAATAAAAGTACATATAGATTTAAATACCATACCATTGTAATAAAGTGAGGAATGGTACCTTTGTGTGACTAAAATGTCCGGACTTTTTTCGAAATGTCAGGCTTTTTGTCAGGACTTTTGAAATTCCTAAATGAAAACCCTACTCTAAGGACAAAAGGTGATCTTATAATAATTTAGTATGCAATGACCACATCAGATAAAGAAGCTCAATAGCAGTGACGAAAATTTATTATCTCTAGAATTAAAATGCTTGAAGGTGCGTTAGTTCCTGCTGGATCTACAATCGTTAGGACCGATACGCACTGGGCCCGCGAGGTGGTAGTCATCCAAAAGCCGGGTCTTCAGCGCGTGTTTTGCCCTACACAATCAACATTCAACAAAATCACCTACATAAAAATTTGTTTCACTACATTTACGTCAACAAAGTTTTTGCTCTCCGAGCCCGTGGAAAACACGTACACAATTCCCCTTCGCGCGGTTCGAGGGGCAGGGTATTGTTTCATCGACATTTTTTTTTAAAACTCGCTAACGGGAGCTTCGTTCCAAACCTACGCACACTACGAGTACAACTTTACACACTGCCGTTTAAATTTTGATCTAAAATGTACGAAACTTTTGCCGAATTTGTGTTTGAAGCATACTTTAAATAAACAAATTATTTTGTTACTATTTCAAAAAAGTTGATTCTTTATGCGCCCGAATAATATGTTTACCTTTATTGTTGCTTAAATATAATTCAGCCATTTTTCGGAGTGATCTCGATTTATACACGTTTCAACATTAATCACCTCAATATGCTTATTATATATCCAAACTAGTTTTTAGTGGTGTTAATAAAAATGAGCTTTTTCGCGAGCTTTTAGTTTCTTTCCCGAAAAAAGGTAAACGTAGGAGCATAGAAGGAGTAAAATTATATTTTATATATGAAACCTGGATCGTAGTTTTTGAACGCAGCCCTGTATATTTTATGTACGACACCACATGAGCAGTAGACAGCGTGTGTAGAGAAACATGTTTCAGTAACAAAAGTTTTGTGTATTTCTTTTGATGAATGTTTTCAAAAAAATTTTTGCTGGAGACCCGACTATAGGGTTAAATATGATGATGATGAAATAATGATTCATTCGTATCTGTTTTTATATCTACGTGGACTTAGCAAAATATAATATTATTAATGCCCTTCGTAATGTTTTGACATACTAATTGCTTATCACAGATTTGTAAAAACATGACCGGAAATGTCCTTATCAAATATACTGTGCGTAACCACGTAGAACACATTTGTCACAATAGAGTAATTACGAAATACCGTATCATGATAATAATTATTAACTAACATACAAAAACAATAGATGAGTAGCATCTATAATCTCATTACCTAATGTTTGCGTCATGACGCTTGCTGTATAAAGTAGAACATATGAATCCTTCTTATATTGTAATCTCTATTCAGCAGCTGAGTTCTAAATTGTTTAATGCCACTGACGAGTTCAAATCGTAGTAGCTAAAGACTGCAAGCGTACTAGAGGACGAAACGCGACTATAAACCTTAAATACAATCTTTGTTCGTGCAGCCGGAGTATGATTAGCAGCGAGCGTCAAAAGCATGACGCGTGTCACAGTATAATGGGCAGCGAGCGTTCTCGAGCATGACGCATGACCTCACTCACCGTGTTTGTCCTTGCAGCGTATAAGAGCAGCACTTTGCCGACCTCCCCGCTGACGCGCACGAGCACGACGGCGGCGAATATCATAGTTTCAAGACACATATTACATTTCCGAGCGTTCCCGAGCATGACGCGTGTTACAGTATGATGCGCCCTGAGCGATTCCGGGAATGACACATGTCGGAGATGATGCGCCCTGAGCGTTCCTGAGCATGACGCTTGTCGGAGATTGATGCGCCCTGGGTGTTTCCAAGCGTCATGCATGCTTTCCCGATCATAGCGCGCATCACAATATGATGAGCTGCGAGCATTCCCTAGCTCATGCTAGGCTCATATGCTAGCGTGACTAAAATATCTCCCCTTCCCGAGCGTAACGCATAACCAAAAGCTTCACTCACCGTGTTTATCCGTACACCGTATGATAAGCAGAACGGCGCCCACCTCTCCATTGGCGTTCACGAACATGACGGTGGCGATATCATAGCTTCAAGAGCTATATGATTCTTGCCTAAAATTCCTCACTCACCATTTTTGCCTATGTATTGCGGGGGTGGGTTCTGCCCCGCTGCTGGTGATCACTTACGAGATCAGATTATAGTGTCTGTAACTATAAGCGTTCCCGAACCTTATGCGCGGCTAAAAACATCATACTCCCAAACATTAGTGAACGTTCCCTAGCATGACGCGCTACTGAAAGCATCGCGTTCCCGAACATGACGCGCGCCTAAACTCATGACGTTCCCGAGCATGACACGCGGTTAAAATCCTCAGATTCATTCATTCATAAGCGAGCATTCCCGTGCATGACGCATATTTAAGTACGATCAGCGAGCGTTACCGAGCATGGCGCGCGTTACAGTATGATGAGCTGCGAGCGTTCCCGAGCATGACGCGTGGTTAAAAGCCTCACTCACCATGTTTATCCGTACACCGTATGATAAGCAGCACGGCGCCCACCTCCCCACTGGCGTGCACGAACATGACGGCGGCGAATATCGCCACAAACACGTAGATACTGGAACAGCGGGCACCGCACTCCCCACTCACAGCAACCCCGCCTAGTATAGGGTAGGAATCTGTCCTACCACTGGTGGTTACTGACGAGTTCAAGTCGTAGCGGGCGAACCTGAGAAACGACGGCACTGTCAAAGTGAAGTACAGGTCGCGGCACGTAACTCTAGCGCTGAACAAAACGCTGGGGGGATAGCTGCCATAGAGGTATAAGAATAGAGTAGACGAGACATAGACTCTCCTACAAGTGGAAGTGTCCCTCTAATAGAAAGAGAAAGAAGATGAGAGACCGCTAGCTTTCTCTCTCTAATCGCGCATGCGCATTGGCAACCGTAAGCATCTTACTATTTCGATGTGATGCCATTGGATGATATGCGTCACAAGAGAGAGAGGTAGCTAGCGGTCTCTCATCTTCTTCCCAGAGCCGCCTTCCCCACTCTATTCTTATACCTCTATGATAGCTCCGCATGGGTACGACTGGAGTAGGGTTACCATTAGTCCGGATTTTTCCGGACAGGTCCGGACTTTTTGATTTGTACAGCTTTTTTAATTACATGGAATAGAAGTAAAACTACTTATTAAGTTATATCAAGTAAGTCAAATAATCTTTATTAAGTTCTCATTAATTTAAAACCAAATATAAATTATCTTTAAAATCAACAACGAGACCGCTCTCCCGATGCGAGCGTCTACCAAGCGTATATTAACACTGTAACTAAGTGGGTGCTGTTTGCATTTTGTGACTAAAATGTCCGGACTTTTATCGAAATGTCCGGCTTTTTGTCAGGACTTTTCAAATTTTTAAATAGTAACGGTACGTAATTTTTAAATAGTAACGTAAACCTTAATCTAACCTAACCCTAGACTGGAGAGACAATCGGCGCAACGCACACCTTGTTTCCCCCCAACACATCTTAATTTTTACTTCTGCGCAATAACGGTCAGCATTAGAGTTTCGTGCCGCGACTTATAAAAGCTGTAGACTAAGGCTCGTATTACAGAATGACAAATAAGTGTTGATCTTTTACTTAAGTATAGTTAGAAAGGGGTATCTCTATGAGCTATACATAGGAGTAGTAGTAGTACAGTACCCCCAGCACGAACCATTATCGAATTGGAATAGTTTGCAAACCGAAATGTCAATGTCAAATTTTGTGTGGAAACTTGAACAGCAGCGGCACAAAGTACGTAACGAGAACTAAAAATCAGTACACATTTGAGAATGACATTTCGGACTCGCAAACGATACGAATTCGATATTGGTTCGTGCTAAGGGTACAGTTAGTTTGGGATGTCGCTATGTACTCAAGTAAAGATCAATACTTAGTTGACATTCTGTAATAAGAGGCTTAGACTGACCGCATATGTACGGTTTCCCGCCGGCCTATTCCCTAACTTCTTCTAACTTTTTCGACATTCACAGTGTGCTAGTGTTTCACTAAAGAGAGATTTGCATATCCATCCATGCTTTTCAGGACAAGTATCTTAGTAGATCATTAAACAGGCTCGGTGATTATCACTTTCATTTGTCAAAAGCAGTTAGCGAAAAGGCTTACTGATTCGATTTCTTGGCCAGGCATCCAGATTCGCAGAAAAAATAAAAAAAACGGAATTCCGTGAGCCTAGCGTGGACGTTTCGGTTTTTTTATTAGTTAGAGTGCAAAGCGAACGTTAAATTTTTTCCATTCTGGAAAAAGTAAGAATATTGTGCGCCTCGTTAAACATCTTGTATGTAAGGACGTGCATTCAGGTTTCCGAATGGGAATAGGGTATTTGACAAGTTTTAGAAAACGATCTCACGTTATTGACTAATATTTATGGAGTCCGTAAAAAGTGGATATTCATCATTCTGTTGTGTATTTCAGTAAAAATAACCAAATCAAAAACTTAATTTTTAAGTTGCCACGAAAACGTTTCTCTGGACAATATGACGTCTTACTAGTGTGTGACGTCACACGACTGTTAATAAAACGTCAAACGATACAATGTCAACTTTAACCGGAAGTTTACTTGCGTGTGATGTCATTTTAGGCTCCACCAATCCCAAGCGTTTTGGGTCACGTGACAATAGATAAACTATTATCTTTTTCATGGGTTTTTAGTAAAATTATGAATATTTTTTTTGTAAAAATTGTAAAAACCCCTGCCCTTATTCATTCTAAACACAGATGCTAACCATTGGCACTTTATTTTTAATATGGTCAAATACCCTATTCCTGATCAAGAAACTCAGATTAGTAAAATTAACCACTTAATAGCCATTTTTATTCGATTAATTACAAACTTCTATTTAAGAACATTAGTAATACACATCAAACTTACGATTTAAGCGTGGGCTCGCCTATAGTAGAAGGATCGACGCAGGAACAATTGTGGTAGATCCACGTGTTGTTGTCGAGCTGAGTGCTGCTCGTACAGCCCGCTTCACACGGCGAGACGTATGTGTAAGAATCCTGTAACAACAAGCGATGTTCAAGTCTAATTCTATGGGGATTAAGGTTCAAAATGCTGTGAAAGTCGCGCAACTTTTAAACTTAATCTTAAGGAGTTAGCTAGCAAAAATAGTATCAAAGTCAACATAAAAAATGGGTAAAAAGAGTCAAATGTACGTACATATTTTGCAACATCGTGCAACTTTCAACCGTAAACGTATATAGTTAGCATAAATGCTTTGAAGTAATGTATATAATATTATAATGTATTTCATACATTGTATTGTAGTTGGCATGACTGGAACCTAAAATTAAAATTGACAAGTGTATCCTCGTCATTCTCTATTGAGACTGAAGACGAGAGACTATTATTTTTAAATTTAGTTTTTTAGATATTAAATTTAGTTTTAAGTTTAGAGAATCATGCCAGATTCGATACCAATGTTTGGATAACGCAGGATTTCAAATATGCCGCGATAGCTTTAAAAATTTGCTTCTGGTGCTACCGACTGTCTACGATTTCCCATAGGGCTACAAAAAAACCACTTAGATTTAATCCCCTTATATGTGTTCCACAGGCAACCTCAAACTTTAGACAGAATTCGTATCTCTTGCGTACAGGTAATAGTTTTAATGTTATATCTGAGAGAACTGGTATTGATTTGTTTTACACTAGCGTTCCATCACTGAGGCGGGTATTGAGCAGTGCATTTTTTGACGAATAGCCAAATGTACAATGTTCTTTTTTGTGATTATTATGTTAAGTGTGCTTAAATATGTTGTAATGTGTTTTTATTGGTAAAGACCAGTAATAGGGATGATGACTAATTTTTTTTTCTTCGTTTATCATGTAGATTATCAAAAAGTATTGAACAAGTATTTTTTCTTTTTTCACATAATATAAACGTTGCATATATATATATTGATTTTAAAAGTCGCATGACGTCACGTTTTGGTACAATTTTCACTTAAAAGTGACGTTACTAGCCCCTCCTCCCAAACTTTGACGCGCTATAACTTTGTCATTTTTTGGTTGATTGCTCAAAGAAAAAATACGTGTCCATTATTTTTGATCATCTAACGGACGGACTAAATATAATTTCGTTTACTGTACCCCACTCATCAGCCCTATTAGCTTTTTGTTATTATTCGGGTATTTATAATTTTTATTAATAGCTGTTGGTCTTCCAAAAAATAAATAAATAAATATTTTTACCTGTCCGCAGACGGGGCTGAAGGTGACGTTGTCGCAGCGACACGCGGCACTGCACGCGAGGGTTGTGTTTGTTCCGCTCAGTATTCGGTAGCTCTCTTCAGGGCAGCTAACCCACATTAGCATCACCATGCCTAAAACATACGCTAACATTAGATGCGAAACAAAAATATAATATAAACAGGGTTACAGGTGGTCGTACAGAACCCTACTTTGGAGACCTCGCACAGGAAGCAGAAGTGCCGGCAGACCACCTGCCCGATGGTCGGACGACATTAAAAAGACGGCAGGGCCGACCTGGACCAGAACCGCCGCATCAAGAACTTCTTGGAGAGTCATGCAAGAGGCATATGTCCAGCAGTGGACCTCATAATGCTGAGAAGAAGAGAAGAGAAGACAGGGAAAGTCGTACTGAATATTGAAGGACGTTATTATTCAGGTCATTTCTGATGGATTTGATCCTATAATATGGTGTCCGAAACATAACCGTTATGGAGATATTGGATATGTAAGATTTTTTAAAAAATCCTATATTTTTTGGGTTTTTGTAGATTTTTTTGAAATTAGAGCTCCAAAGGTCCGATTTTTTAATGTATCTAGTTAGAAGACATGTCAAGCAATAAAAATAATGAATAAAAACTGGACCTACTTCTAACGGCTTAAAAAAACTGCTCGACAACGGTTGTAACTAAAGAATTTTCACCAAGTGTTCTTAACTTTGAAGCGCTATTCTAAAAAAAAAAGTATGGAACTTATTCTGCAAATAAATTTAAAAACTTCTACGTCTCTTTACCTATTCAAAAAGGTATAACGCTTGCTATTAAATTGGCAAAACATTACCAAATAACAGTTATGGTAGCAGAGGGTACATTTTTAGTTTGAGGTAAAAATTGCAAAAATACTTAAATAAAACCAAAAAAGCCTAGTAAATATTTTTAAAATTCATGTTCAACATGGCCACCGCTATTTCTAACACATATTCTCATTCTTTTTCTTAGGATATAGGATTTTTTTAAAAAATCTTTTATATCCAATATCTCCATAACGGTTAAGTTTCGGACACCATATTATAGGACCAAATCCATCAGAAATGACCTGAATAATAACGTTCTTCAATATTCAGTACGACTGTCCCTGTAACCCTGTATATATATATATAAATTTATATAAGGTGAAATTTAATGTTTGCCGTTGAGTGAGTAGGTAGACAGAGCTCAGCCGACTCCTTTCCCATACCATAAAATCGTCTTAGATGCCTTTATTAAAATAATAATCACAAACGTCATCTTCTCTTAAGCAGAGAAAAACTTAAAAAGTCAATAATAATTTTGTCACGATTGGAAATAGACAAATGTCAAACAAAAAGAGAAGTGCTCATTTATTGGTTGTTTTTCACTGGATATGTAAGTACGTTTGTTTAAAATGAATAACTACTCAAAAGAAGGAAAGGACATAAAAATACACAAATTAAAAATAAATACATGAAAAAAAAAACTTCAAAAAAATCCGAAAAAAATCAGGCATACTCTATACACGTAACCCAATAATCTAACAAAGTTTCATTAAAACATTAAATTTCACCTTATTTAAAGGGATATATTATTTATCTATACTTATAATAAATCTGTAGAGATGTCAATTCTGTACATGAAATATATTTTTGAAATAACTATCAGGGGGTGATTAGTGATCGATACTGATGCCAAAAATGCAATCAGTAAAATTTTTGTCTGTCTGTCTGTCTGTGTGTATGTTCCTTATAGAAACAAAAACTACTCAACGGATTTTAACGAAACTTGGTACAATTATTCTTCATACTCCTGGGCAGGTTATAGTATACTTTTCATCACGCTACAATCAATAGGAGCAGAGTAGTGAAGGGAAATGTTGGGAAAACGGGAGAAGTTACTCCATTTTTAAGCTTCCGTCGCGTGTGCAGCTTTAATGGTTAAAGTTACATAGAAATCATGTATGACGGAAATATTCTACATAAAATTGTCTAAAAAATATCCCGCAACAGCATATGTCTATCTTTTATGATTGACTCACAATAACACGTGTAATTATATAAATAAAGTCATTCTTTATAGCACAAGCCTGAGAACAAAAACTATAGTTTACACTACAGCTCTACACCGAAGCGAAGCGAGGGCGGGCCACTAGTATATAATATATATTTATCGTTTATAGTATAGTATAGGTCAGTAGGATAATATATTTTATTTCTCTAACTTTCGTAGCTCGCACTCTATCGCCAAAACGTCCGTCTCATACACCCATACTGGGTGATTGGTAGAGAATGCCTATGACATTAAGTCTGCCATTTACTGTATTTTGGTAATGAAGAATAAATAAAGAATAGTGCTAAATGTAAAAAAAAAATATTACTAGAAAAAAAAAGAGTGTGCTTATGACCACACCATTGAAGTGAAACTTCTTTATATACACAATACCTATATACATGTATGTACATATAGATATTTCATTTACTAGCTATAAGAGAAAAAGAGAAAGAATATGTGCGCGCGCACTGCTCCCTCTTGCTTATATCCCCCATTCAACTTCCGTTCGACTCAATCACACTTTTCGTAACGCGTTCGCCAGCTTACTCCCCACGTGATGATGCCCCATCACCAGCCCCCGCCCCACCCTATGCCCCATATGCCACTAGTGCAGCACTCACCAGCGCTGTAGATGGCTGCTGTGGCTGCAGTCCAGGCCGCCACCTGCCTGGCTGTGGGCACGTGATCATGCCCCATCACCAGCCCCCGCCCCACCCTATGCCCCATATGCCACTAGTGCAGCACTCACCAGCGCTGTAGATGGCTGCTGTGGCTGCAGTCCAGGCCGCCACCTGCCTGGCTGTGGGCACGTGATCATGCCCCATCACCAGCCCCCGCCCCACCCTATGCCCCATATGCCACTAGTGCAGCACTCACCAGCGCTGTAGATGGCTGCTGTGGCTGCAGTCCAGGCCGCCACCTGCCTGGCTGTGGGCACGTGATCATGCCCCATCACCAGCCCCCGCCCCACCCTATGCCCCATATGCCACTAGTGCAGCACTCACCAGCGCTGTAGATGGCTGCTGTGGCTGCAGTCCAGGCCGCCACCTGCCTGGCTGTGGGCACGAGCCGGAGGATGACCACGCCCGACGAGATGATGCCCAGCCCCATCACCAGAATCCCACCCAAGCCTGTTCCCAAATAAAGAACATATTAACAAAAAGCCTATATCGAATAGCAAATACCCGACAGACGACGAAGTTTTGGATACCTCTACCACTCGCAGCCCAACAAAGAATTTGTGTGAACAAATGACATTGCCAGTTGCTGCATTATAAAGAATATTTTGTTGGTTGTTAAGTTAACAGCGAGAGCAACTACGCGCAATTTTCAGTTTAGTGACATCCCGAGCGCACATGTGACATTCTACATTATTTATTACATTATTATTAAGTTAGAATCGCACTATGTCATCCACTTCTTAACTTGATTGATTAAAATCGACTCATATCATAGGCGTCCAATTGCGCTCATTCACCTGTTAGTTAATTTCATTATTCATGATAACGAGTAATGAAAAAAGGATGGCGACTGCGAACAAATCTGCATGGGTGTAGCTAGGGGGAGCAAAAGTGGGCAAAAAAAAATGCCCACTTTAGAAACCTCTTTGCCCACACTATAATTCGAGTATTGAAGAATGACTTAACAGTTTATAAATTAATAAATTAGTTCAGCTAGGTGGGTGCCGGCTGCGCAGCGAGGAGCTTCTTGGCGCACGTGGTTAGCGCGTTCGGCCTGCAATCGTGGAAGTTAAGCAACTTTCGCAATGATCGGTCAATGAATGGGCGACCAAAAACTTATTATTTCGAGCTCCTCCGTGCTTCGGAAGGCACGTTAAGCCGCTGGTCACGGCTGCATCTGCAGTCGTTAGCACCCACCATTCCGCGCTGGACTAGCATGGTGGGTCACGGCCCAATCTCCCAGTGCCATCTATAGGAAACGCCTGTGCCTCAGCAATGAAGGCAATAATTGGCTGATCATGATGAGACAGTGCTGCCCCCAAGAAGAATCCCTAGCCACGTCAATGCAAAGCTGCCATCTAATGTACGCCATACAAGTTATTCCGCCACAAGCACATAGATAGTACCTCACCCGAGACAAGGTTGGCGTCGTGCGTAGGCAACCGGAACTGCTGCTCCAGATACTTGGGTAAGAAGCTGTACACGCCGCTGATGGGCATCAGGTGAAGCACCGAGCTGGCCGTGCGCCACATCAGGATGTCATTTGTCAACTGACGCTTTATCGTCGCGAAGAAATCTGTGGAACAGCTTCACGAGTAAAACACGGGCGGATTATTTATCATTTACAATGACTTGGAATCTTCTTCCATGTATGAATCCTGGATATCGTTGGACAACTTCATCAGTTAAACACAGTTACAATATTTATGATTAAAAGTTACTTAAAAGACTTCCGTCTATGAATCCAGGATATCGAAAGTGTGATGAACAATATTTTGTAGACCTCTTACCTCGTAGGCAAGGCAAGAGTTCGACTCAAAATTGGTCTAGGTGGGAGTCACCTCTCACCTAAGATTAGTATTTTTCAAAACATTTATGTGTTCTAACCACCTCCCCGATGACCAACGTCACAAAAATTTTACATTGCCTCCTGAACCTGCCCGCTTAGCCTAGCGGTTAGTGCGAATCCAGCGACCCCAGGTTCGATCCCGGAGGGGCCAAATGTTTGTGTGATACAACACGTGCATTTTCCTACCTGTCATGGATGGTTTTTTTTTAAAGTATAAATCTGTTAAAAGCTTGCAACGCGTCCCCCCGTTGCACAAATGTTGGATTTACCTTTAAACAATGGTTCGCGTTTTTCTTTGCTCTTCTTGGGCGGTGGTGGTGCCAGCTCCTGCTTGATCTGGCGCGGGAAGAAGAACATCAGCGACGACAGCATCACGATGAAGCCAGCTATGAACACCATCCCTGCAACGAACACACCATCACACTCTTCATTTTTATACAATAGCAATTTGGCTCTTAATCTTCGGTGTCACAGCATGGGCTTCACTAAATAAATAGGATATTTTCCATTATTTTTTAAACTGTTTATATTTAAAGATTAGGACAAACAATTTAACAGAAAAATAAAAATAAACCGATTAATGTCTTTTATTCGCCATTAGACTAATTATAGTTGAATTTATTTTAACTGGTTTTGAATTTACCGCCAAAACTCTCGGTTCGATGACGTCTACTGTCTGACGTCAACTTTGTGTAAATATTTTTAACACCTATGTAATCTGTGGACGATCTGTGATTACGGAGTAATTATTTGACGATTTTCTTGTTAGAGTATTTCGATTTTACTTATTTTCCACAAAGGAAGCCGGGTTTCTGAAAGCCGACAGTGCAAATTTTCCTGTAGTAGATGTTTTTATGGTTGCAAATTTCTTCGCTACTAATCATGATTTCCGTGCTTCAGAGTTTCGAAACATCAAAAATGTAAGTATTATACTATAAATTTATCCCGAACGTAAAAAAAGTTTATAAATTGACCTTCAAATGATTACATATCTATTTATCTAAATAATCAATTTTTAGGTTAAGTGAACCTTTCGCCGATTAACGTTGTGTCAAGGAACTTACGTTGTGTACACATAGTTGACGTCACACACAAGACGTCATCGAACCGATCGTTATGGCGGTAAATTCAAAACCATTAGAATAAATTCAACTTTAATTGGTTTAATATAGAAAAAAAGACATTAATTTATTTATTTTTATTTTTCTGTTAAATCGTTTGTCCCAATATTTAAATATACGCAGTTTTCATAATTTTGGAAACTACCCTATTGTTCGTATACCCTGGAAGTTGTTCTCGGCGAACATATTTTTCACGATTCAGGGACTTTTGTCCTCTGCGACCTAAAATCCCTCGGCTGCGCAAACTATAAGTATTCGCATCGAAACAAGTGGACTAACTGTCGACTTTTTCGAAATAATATATTATGTGGATGTACTACAAAAAATTACACTGTTTTAAACCAGCTTTAGGCTAAAATTTGTATGAAGTTTTCTTCCTAAACTCGTGTTGAACGCCGAACTTTTTTCTAGTCATACAATGACATCATTTCAGAATGAGATAGAGTTAAAACTGGAAAATAAAGTTAAGAAAAAAGTTTTTCTATCAAATAGTTAAGACTAATTAGATTACTTTATCAGAAAATCGGATCGAAGACTACAAAACTATATCTAAATAAAAAACATTACTCAGTGAAATTCGTTTAAAAATATCTAATGTTCATGGTTTTACAGTCAACTTATAGTTGTCCATAACTGATCTTATTATAATCGGTTTAACACGTTAAAATTGAAATAGACGGACGTATTCACTGAGTATTCCACCAATCATTATACGTTTAAAGCAAAAATACACGTTTAATTTATATGAAGCTGATACTAGCATATATTGTAGCAGACATATCCAGCAGCGGGACCGTCACAAAACGTATTTCTGGCAATTGTTTTGATTTTTCTTATTTATTTAAAAGTAAAGAAAAGTAATAAAATTATTTTCACCAGGGTACATAACGCTTTTTTCACTTACTTGAAAATAGCTTTAGATACCCCCGTGAAAACAAATTCATTACCTCCCTCTACTTTTGTATAAATAAGAAATACCAAAACAGTTTTTTGACGGTCCTTTTTGACTAGTTGTATCTTCTACAATGTCTGCTAGTATCAGCTTAATTTTATTTATGACGCAGAATCAGATAGAAACATGGGCTATCTGTGCTAATTGAAAACCGTATTTTAGGTGGTAACTACAATACAATACAACTTGAGATCATCATCTTTAGCATGCTTTCAATAAGTCAAAACACAAATAGTATTGTTAAGACGCTTTAGTGTCTAATGAAATTCCTAAATAGCACCATTAGCCTCGCAAACAGTTCGGGACGATAATGCAGAAAAAACCGCTAACGAACAAACGGAAAAGCGAAACGGTGAACCATTCGCGAATCACCAAGTATTTGATCATTTCGTCCGCAACAGACACACACATGGAATCTTGTAATTAGGACAATTAACATTACCTACTCGCTATGATAAATGTCTGTTTATATTTACACTCGCTGGAATGAACTCACAACGTTCAGAATTATTATAAAATTCACGCTCGAAATGGCACCACGTACCGTGACGACACACGAAACTCTAATTTGGGTGTAGTCAATTGGTCAAAAAGAATTCCAAGATGTTTATTTTTACTGAGGACTCCTGGAAAACTACCGAATATTAAATTTGAATACCAATGATATCTTTGTGACTAATATGAAAGAAGTGAATGCACCCATGACTTCTTTGGCTTCAGCTCAAGTACTTAACGCTCTGTAATCCACGAATTAACGTTTAATCCACTTATAAATACTAACTGGACAGTCAGAAGACACCATAAACACGAAATTCTAGTAACAAAGATGATAACATTAATATTTGTGAAAAAAAAATGTTTCTTGGGTTTTCACGCACATCACTCATTAAATAAAACTAGTTTTTCACGGGTTAATGCACGAAACTTTATTTATTTATTGACGTTTCGCAGCCTTTATATTCATTTTTTTAAATAAAATAGATTTTTTAAATAAAAAATTGATTCCGACGATGCAGCCTGTAAATGCTGCGAAACGTCAATAAATAAATAAAGTTTCGTGCATGAACCCGTGCAAAACTAGTGATAATTAAAAAAAGTATTTTATGAAAAGCTAAGATCAACCAACTACTACGATTAAAGTTATCTTTAGGTGTGGTCACACGATTGAAACTCAAGCGCATCTTGATAAAAACCCAAGGAATTATCAATAAAAAGATGGTCCTACGCTTTGATTATTTATTGTACACTCAAGTAACCAAAGGGTCCTACAGTAGTATCGGATCGGATCTAATAAAATAAATACTTATTGTTATAACAGTATTTTGTAACCATTTTATGAAATAGTATGATAAATACTCTGCAGAAAGATATTAATGTGCTAACTTGCATGAAATTTAATCTAAGTTTAGATGACTTTAAGTGATCGTACAGTCACCAGAATACCTATAGGCTATTATGGGATTAGTTGTGTGAATAATGATTAAAATTTCATTGTAGCTTCTGACTTCCGATGTCATTTTAATTACTATGACAGGGTACTCTACTCTATTTGATGTAAACAATTCCGATATATCCAAACAGAAATCGTTTGTGTGCTTAGTTTGTGTGGCTACAAGGTCGCCCGGTCGACGCTCAGTCAAGGGCGTTCACTAGACACATTGCCGTACAAAATGCGATTAAAAGCTACATTTACTCAACGCGTTATCAACACTGGTATCCATTATATCAAGAGTTACACGTGTGATATAACCTTGTAAAGCGGGCTACCGTGGCTTCAGACGCATCGCTAGCTGAACTTCGTGACATTTGTAACATAGAGTCGAGTAGAAGACAAAGGTCAACTCGGAACCGGTTTAAAAGTAAAAGTGAGCAAGAGGGCGCGGCAGTCGCGTGTCCACCCACTAAATCCTCATTACGGACACCGACGACGGCATAATTGTCGGCAGGCAGCGCGCAGCCTTGGCCGTGACCGGTAGATAGAGCGCTTATTTTAGTGGAGGTGACGCACCGTGATGTAACAACGCTTTATGTAATGCAGAGCGTGCTACGCCGACGGCGCCGGCGCAACGTGACGCTCCGAAGCGACGCCACTGTCACTCGAGGAAAAAAGCGAAAGCAGCATGAAAACTGCAACAGCGCACTCAGCACTTATCTTTGCGTCAAACGCCACCTACGAAACAAAGTAGTGGCCAAGTGCAGTCAAGCCTGGCAAAGAAAACCACTCCTCTCGTGCTCACAGTAAAACTATAAATCAAACATGAGATGAAACTGGATACTGCGCAAGGTTTAATTAACATTATGATGTAACACGTCATTTTTCCCAACCTGCTTCGATCGCCAAGTAAATCATGCTGCAATTGACTTAATGATTGAATTTGAAATTCTGGCCAGGGAAGGTCTAATGAGGGATTATTAATGTGTTGCGCGATGCACTTCCCATGCTCATTATCTTTTTGTTTAGAAACTGCATTCAGTCGACTTGAACATTCGCATGTACGTACAGTAATTTGTGCAAATGATACTAAAATCAGCAAAATTACAACCAATTGTAGAGTCCTGTCGTGTGATAATCAATTTAAAATTGGCATTATTATAAACAAACATTGACGAAACGCACAATAGGGATGATGACTAATTTTTTTTTCTTCGTTTATCAGGTAGATTATGAAAAAGTATTGGACACGTATTTTTTCTTTTTTCATATAATATAAACATTGCAGAGATATATTGATTTGAAAAGTCGCATGACGTCACGTTTGAGTACACTTATAAGTGAAAATTCACTCAAAAGTGACGTCACGAGCCCCTACTCCCAAACTTTGACGCGCTATAACTTTGTCATTTTTGGTTGATTGCCCAAAGAAAAAATACGTGTCCATTATTTTTTGATCATCTAACTGACGGACTAAATAGAATTTCATTTACTGTGCCCCGTCATCATCCCTATTACTTTACTTTCTTATGTCATTGAGCAGGCATTCTTAAATGTGTTATTAACATTCAGGGCTTCATTCATGGTCTTATGGCAGTTGAACAATAAGGAAATACTCGGAAACCATTCAATGAGTATTTGCGAATTTGCTTTATTGCCAGTCAAGGCACGCATGTAGCAGTTTTCTACAGAGCGCAAGGTGCTTGTTGAGGTTTGAAATAAGTAAGGGACAAAGGATTCTCGCCCTTCGTATGAGAGTTTTAAAGGACGGAGTGCAGCTGGGCTAGACGCAGGCTGCGGCTGCGGCGGGCAGACACGCACGCATTCGATTAGTACTTAGGTCACGCGCAAGCTTTCTTCGTGGATTTTGCGCGCGAATCTGCCACAAGCGCCTCTAACGGTAGATAGCAGTTCCGCGGTGGAATGCGAAGGAACTGTGTTCCTAGTAAGCTAGACGCATTTTTATTGTACGCCACAAATGCTGCCGATGCAACCCTACTTTGTCAAGATTGTAACTCTGTATCTACTTAACTTCGCTTGCCACTATTAGGGCAATGACATAATCGTTATATTTGGCGTAATGCACCTAACTATTTGAGAATTGCGAATTTAACTCCATTTCCTCACACTGTATGTATAAGCAAATAATTATGTATGTCGTGTATAAAAATTGATTTTTAGTTATGATATAAAAATAATGCGTCACGATATCATCACTTTATACCAATACAGACACTATATACAGAGTGTTACAAAAATACAAATAAAGTTTTACCTTTTAATAAAAACAGTTATTTTTAATGATTAATAAAAATATCGATCATTTTAAGTTTTTTGTTTTTTATTCATTGTAAGTTTGAGGATCATTAAAAATAACTGTTTTTTATAAAAAGTTAAAACTTCATGCAAATATTTTAAGAAAATTAGAGAAGACTCCTTGTATGATGTACTTTAACGCCCTTCAAGCTTTATTTGTATTTTTGTAACATCCTGTATAAGTAATCAATCCTTATTAATAATACGTATTACCAGTGATATTTCAGTAATTTGTCTAACTTGTTTTAGCAGAATGCATAAATACAGGCTTTACATCCCAAGGATGCATTTATCACCACAGAATAAATTATGATGTGCTATTAAATTAACTGTACGACCGTTTCAACAATGTCAATACATAAGTGGAATGAACAACATCATCCACCGTGTCACTTTATTTTTCTTATATAAAATTATTTAAAACCTCGTTAAGCTAACACGTGTTCATTCATTACACGGAACTCGATATGAGAATCCTTGAATCCTCATTATAACGCTTTATTTCCCAATTAAGGTTACCCCAAATACCGGATAATGACATCAAATCCAATACTCTGATGATTCCACAAATAGTTGCATTAGTTATATAACTTAATCAATTAGTTATCTAAGAATTGGCTATTTCAATTTGCTTTGGTTATTTATTGGAAATAGAAAATTTATTTTTCTATCTATGTATAACAAAACAATACTTGGAAAAGTTAACTGGTCGCTGGTGTCTATTTATTTGTATATAAATCAATACAACATATAAATTGATATTTACAATGTGAATGCGAAGTATGTTTGTAATTACAAACATTCTGTAATACGGGCCTTAGAGCCTGTGCAGTTGTAAAATTAATATAATACAATGACGTCTACTGCTCAGTGCTCAAGTATATTTGTCTGTGGTTTTGCTCAAGAAGATTGCCGCTAGCGATACTGGCTAAAGATGTCAGCATTACTCACCGAGCCACCAAGCTCCCACCCATTTTGGATCGCTGGACGCGTATCCGGGATCTGACAGCGGGTCCACGTACACCCTGGTGCACAGAGCTCCCAGGAGGAATCCCAGAGCTGGGCCAATAACTCGGATACCAATCGTTATCGCTGTGGACAAAAAAATAAACATTATCAGTAATTTTTACTTTCAGCGATTACTTTCATTCCGTACATGGAGAGATGGAGAGAGGTTTTGTCACATAGACACTTGCAGACCCCTATTTCCCAGTGGGCACTTTGGGCAAGTGCCCAGGGCCCCGCGATCGATAGGGGCTCACCTCAGATCAAATACAAAGTCCCTAGTCCCCATTATCCTAATATGCCCAGGGCCTCCAATAGGTCAAAGACGGCACTGGACATTTGCTTAAGATTTGATGGGTATCTCAGAAGGATAATAATAATAAATATTTCCAACACTCACACCAATTAGCCTAACCCAAAGTAAACTATAAGGCTTGTGTTATGGGATACTCGGGTAACGGATAGAATACATATACTTTACATATATAAGTATATTTATATAGAAATACATATTAAACATCCATGACTGGAGTACAAATGCTCGTGTTCAAGGATAAACATTTAAACCTAAATCCGCTTGATCAAAGAAAATTAGCCCTCAGGCTGAAATCGAACCAGCATCAGCACCCTTAAATAACTTGCAAAATCCAAAATTATCAATAGTAAATGGGAGAAAGGCCGTCTGTACGTTTAAACTGTATCGATCTACTTCTTTTAATAATAATGCTCTGTATGTTTCAACCAGAAAATAGGATAATCAGTAAACTAGGGAAATTGTAGTTATTGAAAGTATAGCTCCAACGACTCAACATTGTAAAGACCACTTAAATAAGACATGACGGATAAAAAAATAATGTTGCCTGCTGGAGCTAGGTTACAACACTAGCCTAGTCCTAGGTGAACCTTTTCCTAGGACTGCTATCACAAAACTTGACGCAGAAAGCATAAATATCTTTGCATGCTGCTATAGTACCTATTTATACCTACAAATAGGCACTTGTCGCATGCATCTAGAGATACTTATGCTGTTCAATACAAGCGTCCACCTTAAAGTTGGGTGGATTCCATCGATTCGGGGAAACGCATTAGCCATAGCCCTAGTGCCTAGTTAATAATGCAGAAGATAATTATAGGCGCCATGCGAAGATGGGACGGTCATTATGCAAATCGAGATGGACTTGGGCCGCTATCGTTTATCTTAATAGGACTAGGGCTCAGAGGCTAATTGAGGGTCGTCGAACCCGAGACGACGTATTATCGAATGATGCGCGTACCTTTTCTTTCATGTAGCTGACGCATCTTCTCATACATTGAGAAGCATTATAACGAATTCTACTGAAAATGTCATTTTCTTTAAGAGCCCTTTTACAAAATTGCGCCTCTGCCGTACTGATCGGCGCGTAGGTAGATTTGCACTAATATATATTACATTTTACGGGTGATGTTTCGAGTCTAATAAAATAATTTAATGAAGTTCTTATAAAAATGTATACATATTCTTATAAAAATATATACATATTATTCAGTAGTTCAATGATGGTAGATTAGTTTTATGAAAGTTTTTGATATTAATTGTATGTAATTCAATATCAAAATACGCATTATTGTTTGAGAAAACTCACAGAAGTTAGATGTTTTTTTTTATAATTAATGAGACGAAAAATCAAAATTCTAATACATTATGTGACAACAAAAACATATTTATGATGTCGTAGTAATTAATTTGATCTAATTTATTGAACATTATTTAGAAATTCAGGCGTTTGAAGTTGTGCATATTATCGTTTTTTCCGTAAACTGGCTGCGGTAGAACGATCAGTACAAAAAAAGGAAAATAGTATTTGCAAATATTCTACATTAACTTACAACAGGAAGAATAAATCTACTGTTTACTTTTATTGGAAATAGTCAAAATCTTTTCTAAGGGGGTAAACGAGACGTTCAAAAATTACGATTTTTTGCAAATAATATGAAAGGACTCTTAAGGCTTTAGTCACTGGCCGACGATTTCAGCCTATAGTGTTTACAATAATTATACTATTAATTAAATATTACTGGACGAAGCAAAAGGAACTTCGCCTTGCTGCCGGTCTGGTCCGCACTTAAAGGTTTCCGTATACGAGACGCCAGCCTGCTCCCGAGTTTGTGGCAGAAAAGAAAAACACCATGAAACGAGTACACATTAAAATAAACATAGATCATGTTAGAAATTCCTGCTTTAACGAACAGAATTATAGTTCTGAGATAAATTTTAAAAATTCTGAGATAAAACTTTAATAACGTAAGGTAAGCTGTAGGCCCTGTCGGCAATCAGTGGCATAATAGCCTGCAAAATGCAGAAAAGTTTATGGCATATAGCTATATGGTGTGCTAACATTGGTCCACATCAATCAATCCCAAAAATGTTGATTATTTCACTGACTTTAACAATCGACCAGGACCCTTGCAAGTGTGTAGGTTGCTGTAGCACGAACCAATATCGAATTCGAATAGTTTACGAGTACGAAATGTCAAATTTTATATAGAAACTTGAACATTGAACAGAGCGCCATAACGGACGTACCGAGAACTAAAAATCAGTAAAAATTTGTCAATGACATTTCGCACTCGCAAACTATTCGAATTCGATATGGCACGAGCCCATACCACTGCAACAACAATACTACTGCAACCTAATCGAATACTTTTACTTTATTTATCTCGATCTCAGCATTAATATTGAAAGTAAATTGGTTACTACAACTACGAAGAGCTAAAAAATAGTTACAGAAAAAATATTACAAGGATATTTCGCCTTACATTTTGTGGCTTATGTTTTTTATTTTATCGATTTCTTCCATCTGCTTTGTACAGTCTGCCTGCCGAAAAAAGCCTGAAAGATAAAAAATCTCTCAAAAATCCGTTGCACGACGGAGGCGTTTCTCATTAATCATAAAGGAATTAAAGGCTTGTTATAATAACAAAAGGCCGATTTAAGGTGATTGACCGAAAAACAATCAGGCACTTAGGTCCCAAATGTAATAATATGCTTCTCGGAACCGATCGCATCGCCTGCCAAAAAACGCAACGCCGCCGGCGCAGGCGCGCTCGCCACGCCCGAAATTATGCTGCGCGGAAAATTAAATAATACCCTTCCTCCGATTATATTCGTCATGCACTTCTGTATAAACAAAAAGTATATACTGTTCTTTGTTAGTGCAACACTTGCATTCCAATTCAACAAATAGAACTGATAGTAGGAACAACGCCCCACCTTGTTCAAGACTCCGAGTTTGTGTGAGACTGTTCATGGAAATTTACTGTGACGTAGATAGGCACAAAAATGTTTTGATAGGCAAAATTATAATTAATTCATATCTGACTTTCCCTGAATTAATTATAACTCTCATTCTAAACTCACTAGGAAAGTTTGTAGAATCAAACAAACTGTGTGGAACCTTAATTTTTCCCTGACTTTTCAGGTAGCCCCTTGATTTCACTGAATTTCTCTGGTCACTTTGTGCTTTCCTGGCTTTTTCCCAATTTTTCAGAATGTGCCAATGAAAATATTGATAATGTTCAGACTATATACATAGGCACTCATGTACAGCATATTTACCCGATCTTGATTTTAATGATATTTCTTCTTTTTGCTTTGTTAATATTCTTAAAAGGTACAATAAGAATAGCCATTGAAATATTGATAGTATAGAAATTTAGACGCCGCCGGCCCAAATAGTATTTAGTGCGGTACGTAATCCGGCTCGATCATCGATTTTCAAAACATACCAATTGCCACGAGCCAGTTTTTACTGAGACTTGAGAGCAGCATCTGTACCGGTTCTGTTCTGCGATGCATCATTAACATCATTTTTCGACTGTAGATGATCAAAAAATTAACACATAAAAAAATACAGATTGCATCATTAAAATTACTGATGGCCAAAACGTGTTTTCAAATTTTCCATCCATCATAATATTATACTGTAAGGAATTTCTCTGTATATAAATAAATATGTATAAGTGCTTTAAAGATTTCAATGTCTACTCGAAATATCAAATTTTTTATTGCACAGATTAGATGTATATTCGAATTTTCCAAATAAGTACTAGTTTTTATCGCGCTAGTTGAAAAATTCGATATCAGAAGACGTTTCAGTGATTTTCTAAATATATCGTAGGCGATTGATTGGCTACTAGTTGTCGCTTTCGGATAGGGTTACCATCCGTCCGGATTATTCCGGACATGTCAGGACTTTTAGTCGATAGTCCGGACTTTGTCCCGATCTTTAAATTGTCCGGATTTTTTTAAATTACATTGAATATGAATAATAAATTTACATATTGATTTAAATACTAAGTGAGTAATGGTACCATTTTGCGACTAAAAAGTTCGGACTTTTTTCGAAATGTCAGGATTTAGTCAGAACTTTTGAATTTCCTAAATGGTAACCCTACTTCCGGATAATATATCACAAACATTTAAATACATTATACATATACGATAGCCTATAATGACAGCTTTTTAATCAATTTAAACCCACGGTATTGAAAGTAAGAAGGGCTAGGACTAGGCGGGATAACCTTACCACATCCGACTAGTGTATAAGGTCGTCAGGTTTGACTTATGTATTTCTAAAATGATCATGACGCAATTTTAATTTTAAATGTATGTTTCACGCAATATTTTTCTATTCGCTTTGTTGTGTAACTAAATTCAAACATTTGTAAGAATAATAAAGGCCTTTATAGATTGATAGGACCAGAAATTCAATCAATGGCAAACCCGGAGAAGGCAATAAGCATTCATCCTACTCACGCTAATATTATAAATGCGAAAGTTTGTATGGATGTTTGTTATTCTTTCACTCAAAACCTACTGAATGGATTTTAATGAAACTCTATAATAACATAGCTCATATATCATGATAACATATAGGCTATAAATTATAAATAGCGTTATAATATTAAGTGTGTAAATGAGTAAATTTATCAAAATATAATACAAAATATCACATCACGTATGTCTGAAAAAATACTACCATCTGCGAGCCATTCTGGCGTGTGCTGCAAAAATGATTATAATGAATGGTGAAAATGAATAGACC